TAGCTGCTTTTGAATGTATGTACATTCCCTCATCTCAGTTTTTCTTGTTCTTTTCAGTCCCACATCTTGTTCCAATACGTGTTTCCGATATTATCAATTTCACACACCTTTCTTAGGCCATCCTTTCTCCAGCATAACTAATATGGATATCAGATAGATACTTGGCCCATCTGTATCTCTAAAGCAGCCTCAGTTTACAGTCTTGTGAAAAAGGGACACACTGCTGTGACATTACCCAATTCAGAAACCCATTCCCAGGACTTCTATTGTGTTCTGCATGGCACAAATATAGTAACTGTATGGATTTTTCTGTACTAATGGCATTCACACGAAGGCACTTCAGAGTTACATGGTACATCTGGACAGGGGACTACAGTGATCTGATTGTGGTTCATGAGAAAATTTCAAAAATAAAATAGGACTTGAGTGCAGCTTCCTTCACATAATATGCATTGACAATGCAAACCAACCCTCTTCTTTTTGCTTCTCCACCTGCTAGAGAGAGGAAACAAGTTGAAATTCATACATTGTAAACTCCCCAGACTTGCTAGTTATCTCTGGCTTCTGTAAGATTACCCAGTTCCCTGATACTGTTTGCCATAGGCACCACGGAGGCAGGAACGCCATCTAATTCAGACACCTAGCTTAAGCCACATTCACCTTAAGTATTCTTTATTTCCCTTCTCGGGACGTTTATTTCTCTATCAAGATAGGGAGATTTGGATATCAACTTTGTTTCTTTTTATCACTAACTTGTTATTTTAGACATCAAAAAAACAACCAACCAACCAAAAAGACTACATTAGTGCAAAGAAAGCATTTTAGTGTAGTCCGTCCTTCTCTTGGACAATCAGGTACCAGAAATCTAAAGCAGTGACTTCTCTTTATGTTTGGATTTATTTATTCTTCAGCAATTGTCTTGTGCAAGGGTTAGATAAGCAATAGCTTGCTTGCCTCTTATATGTAGCTCTACTACTGCATCATGTTTACTTGAAATTCTCTGAAAACACCCGTGAAAGACTGCCAGAGGTTCCCAATTATAACACACACAGATGCCACAGTACAAACGTAGTTACAGGATTATTCACTTGTAAATAGCAGCCCTCTGTCAGCAAACAACTAGTGTCACTAGCGCTCAGGCCTCCCTTAACCAATCATCCAGAATACACAATGGTATGAATTTATTACTGTTAGCTCAGTGTATTTAGGACAGGACAGAGCTCCCTCTCCTTCTTTATCTGTCTAGCTTTCTACTTATGTAAGTATGACATAGCAATCAAGTCTTCTGATTGAAAATTTTTCAGTCTTACCTTTGGCCTTTGACTGACAGGACTTAATTTCACGCTTTCTGAAGTGGCACTTAAGGGTGAACAAGGCTTGCTAGAGGAACCTGCTGATCTGTAGACATGCAAAATGAGATTGAGAAAAACTGAAAACTGGGACTGAATGTTAAATACATATCTCAGATTCTCATCTAGTACCCTTCATCAACGGTCTCCAAAAACTTGTGATCTGTGTTATGTGAAATTGCAGGTGTTTTAAATACAAACAATGAAAACTGAAGAACCTACCAGACCTTTGTTCCATCTCTTCAGATTAGACTGTGATGAAGCCAGAGAAAATTGGTGAAGCCAAAGAAAAACATGGCAGTTTTTCCATTGTGTTAAAATTCTTTGCCATTGCTGCTACGTATGCACCCAAGCCACTACAAAAATAAATCAGTAAAGTAAATCATTTACCTTCTTATACTGGTCACACTGGCAGGGGAAGGAGTATCTTCTTTGGAGCTGTCTATAACAGATGCCATCGGAATAGACACTTCAATTGTCTTCTTTGCATTTTCTAGATGATAAATAATAGCTTAATTCTGACAAGAACACAACAACATCTCAGTATATTTATTTCATTTTCCCATTTTTTGGGGAAGACCCTCCTCACTGTTCACAATTACACATAATATAAAGAATAGACATAAAACGTCAAGCTGAAGATGCACGCAGCCCCATACCCACTTTCTGAAAATGACCAGTAGTGAAAGCAGATACTCAGAGGAACTATGGACAACGTGCTTAATACAAAATGACTCTTCTAAGGATAAGCCCTCTGGCTTTGGCAGATTTCTCTTCGTTGTTCCTTTAGATTTATGTATTTACTTTTCATGTTTTCTTTATTTACCAGGGCATTAGAAGTACTGAAAGTGTTAGGGCCCCACTGTGTGAGTCACTGCATATGCATCGGCATGCATGTGCAAACACACGTGATCTCTCCTCCCCCTCCTTCCCCGCGTCCTTCCCTTTACACTATCTCTGTGGTTTAGGAAGGGGGAAAGGGTAGGTGGCCTAGATAGAGCATGCGTGCACATGCTCATGCACAGTTTTACCTGCTATTGCAGTAACTCCATGAAAAGATTAAGAAGCCCTCATCTACTAGAGAATATTTTTGTTTATAGTTACATACAGAAGCTAATCCATGGATCTTGCTTGAATCAGCAAGAATGTTTTCTTCACTCATTTGTCTCTTCAGATGATTTGAAGCTTGCTATTTCTTTTTGCTAACGCTGGCAGTAACTCAGCAAGCTAATCTGATGGAAAGGGCACCAAAAGACCAAGAACTTTAAAACGTGGTTAAGCATTGGATAACCACTTTGCTGTGATTTTTAGAGGACTGATGTAAATGCTTGATCTTTTCCTAAAAGATTCTGCAGCAGAGAGGCCTGCTTAAAATGCTGTAAGCACTCAATAATTAAAAAAAAATAAAATTGGGAATTTGGAATACTAGGCATTTCAGGCACTGAGGAAATCTCTTGCTGCCTGTTAATAACAAAACCTAATTCTGCTCTTAAGTGACAGTGCAACAGTTCTGCAGACAAAGGCATAGCAAAGAACAAATTTACCACACAGCATGACATTTGCAGCAAGCTAACTAATTACTAAGAAACTAACTTTAGGAGAAGTTTAGGTGATATATTTTTAGCTCTCTGAAGTCTGTCACCTTTAAAAACAAGGAGTGTTTGTTCCACAGAGTCATTAAGAGCAAGTGCACTGACCACAATTGCTGATCCAATCAGTTAAAGACAGAACTCCCAAAAAGGGAAAAAACATTATCTTACTAGTTTTTGTTTCTCCTAAAGCTGGGTACTTACCAATATAATTTAAGGATGGGGGTGGAATAGCAGATATCATTGGAGAGACCACATGGGCAGCAGCTAATTTTTGCTGGTCTATCAGCTGCAACAGTTTATCACGTGCTTCTGCGCTCTGACGATTCAGCTCTGCTATTCGTTCCTCCAAGCTCTTTGGTACTGCAAGATGAGTCTACGTACAGATAATTACTTTCAATTAGAAGCCTGTAACTTGCACCTTCAGGAAGGGCATACAATATATTTCAAGTACTTTTACATATCTAATTTTTCCAACTGAAAATCAGTTCCTTAAGTAGATTATATAGCACCTCTTCTGAAAAAAAAAAATCTCAAATTTTGTCTCTTTCACTGTCATATATCCAGGTCCTTAACTGACTAAATACAACATCACATGAAATAGGTCTTAAAACAACTGACAAAAGAGAAGGGACACTCTTAAAACATCAGTAAGCTATCGGAAAGCAGATAAGCAGAAAGGGGAATCCACCCTTTCTTTTCTATTAAATTCTCACCTGTCCCTGTGAAGTATCTAGACTAGGGTATATATTTTGTATCGCATCTGGCTGATGTAGGCCATCACCTGTTTCTTCAGAGCAGTCTCTGAATTTGCTCAGCTGAGCTTTAATAAGAGAGTTCTGCCGTGTTAGCTCAGCTATCTGTCCCAGCAGATCACTGCTCTGAGAGACCTCTTCAGCTGCGCTGTTTTTTCCAGAATCACTTGGGGAGGACAGACTGACTTTGTCTTGGGAACTCTCCAAGTCTTTGTGTGCAGGAGGAATCGGTTGCCTTTGAGAGAAGAGACATTTTTCCTCAGCTGTGCTCTGAGTTACCAGGGAGGAAGGTGAGGTCCTTTCCTTGCATGGTTCTCGTTCAGTGTTTTCAGTGGACTGAGAGATGGTCTTAAAGACTACAAACAAGAAATAAAGGAACAGTAAGGAAAGAAACACATGTCCTTATCAAGAAACTAACAGTGACTTCATTCTATCAGGCTAGTAATTTACAAGAGAAAATAATCAAGCAGGAACTTTAACATCTAACCTGAACGGAGTACGTTATGGAGTAAAATCCTTTATGCAAGCGACTGCTACAAGGACTCATCATTTGAAAGACTTAATATTTCTCATTGCAAATTGTCTTATAGCTGCATGATTTGATTAGAGTTGGAGAGAGAAGTTGAATTTCTTAGCTGATAGAAAAATGGAAACGCTCAAACACTTTGTTCTCCATTTTCCAAAATCCAGTTACCTTACCTAATAAATTATAAGTTTGCCTTTTTCTTCTTATATTTATGCTGGGCTGGCAACAAAGTACATAAATGTTTGGAATAGTAATCAGTCAGACGTTTAGTAAGCCCCTAAGAACAAGGGGATCCATTCTAGCCCACAAAAGTAGTTAGGTGTTTTTAGTGGTCATCATTAGCAAATTGATAGCACATCACACACACACATGTGACCAGATGTTACAGTACTGTCAGCTGCAGCTCTACATATTAAGTTCAAGCTGAATTTTGTGATCAAAAGCAGAGGTTCCACATCTTGCATATGAAATAGCCCATTCCTTCCAAAGCTATAGCTTTTGCCTTTTGAACAGAGCATGACATTCAAAAATTTACAAGTAAATCTGCAGTTTTATGAATTATTTTCCATAAAGAGGCATTCTTAAGAAGTTTAACATTTGTTGACCCATTTAGCAGCCTTAACAGTAATAAAGAATAACAATACATTTCACACATAGCGAAGCTACAGTGAAGTCTGTGAAAAGAGTTTCATGCTTGTTTCAAATGACAGTCAATGTCTCATGGTTCTCAGTGGGACTGAAGCCAGATGCTGCTTTTTGCAGAAAATTACTTTTAGCTCACTTCCTCCCGAGTTTTTTTCTGTGCCTCCTCATAGCATACCAGACTACTAAAAGCTTAAACCAGCTAGACCCTACCACTCCTCTTGCCAGCTCCTTAAAAAATCAAAAGTACTTTTGGGTTATTCTTCTGACTGGAAAAGCCTTGCAAATCAACAGAGCTGAAAGCAGGCGGGAAGGAGGAGGGAAGGCAAAGAACTTCATTACTGCACCCTACTTCCTGTCAGCAACCATTGAGCTAGCTGTAAACACAATTATCTGCCTCCCACACAGGTTTACTGGGGCCTAGCACACTCAGTAAGATGCATGTGGTTATAATGACAATTTCAGGAGGAAATATCTAATCTTAAGACAGTCACAAAGGGTTCTCCCTCCTGCTCACTTCAGTAAGTTTAAGTGAGAAACTGCTTCCCTAACTATCCCTGAAAAACCTTTCTCCTTGAAAGCAACAGAATCTGAAGCCTACAGATACTGACACAAGATTGTGAGCTAATCTGGTTATCTGGCACCTCACCACAATCTCACCCAGAACTTCTTCACCCACTTCTTGTGTACTACACGAAACATGGAAAGCTGCTCCCAAACCCTTTGGAAAAGTCTCTGCTGAAAAGATAGGCTGCCTCAAAACAAGAGTACACAGCCTCCAGAGATCCTGGTTTGTCTGCATGGGCTCCAGAAGCACTGAAGTTCCAGTCTTGAATGGTGTCACCATTACAGGTGACAGAGGCTGGATTACATCACCAGCAGACGGAGATATGAGAAGATGTGCTCTGAATCATAGACAGAGAGCTACCGCAAACCATACATAATGACAATCAAAACCAGTTCAAGATAAGAATGAGAGTCTGGAATGCCACTGACAGGGCTACAGACAGTAAGACAGACAACTGCAAGGGATGATAACAGAAACTCTAAAGGAAATCTAGCAATAGGCACAGAAAGAAAAGAAATGCAGATCTGGATGCAGATACAGGAGATTCCAGTTACAGGGCCAAGATGTCTAGGCACCCAAATTAAAAATTTTCATAGAAAATATATCTCCAAAGAGAATGTGAGCCTGAGAGATTCAAATAATAATACGACACACAGACTCCCAAGTCTACTACAGCGAACTAGCGAGGGCGTGACCATCAGCTCACCATTCTGGAGGGGAGACGATTCCTGACTGCTCTTCTGCCGGGGCGGTGACAACAGTACAGCTGGCTGGAAGATGTGAGTTGGCAAACTTCTACCTGCTCCCACACTATCCGAGACACTTGGCCTCTGGAAAAATTCGACAGGCGTTTCCTTATGTGGGAATTTCAGCATATTTACTCCATTGCCCGCACCAGTCCTGGGCTCAAAATAGCTCAAAGCACTTTTCTCTAAAGAAAGAGACAAAGCAGAAATTGAATTAAAAAAATAGTCCACTAACAGCCTAGGGAAAAATCTCAGTAACGACCACTCTTTCATTCGGGTGCCTGAAAAGACAGTCTATGTTTATGTTCCCTACACACTCCTCACTTCCTTTCAATGCCCAAGTACAGAAATCTTTCACTGGAGCACAATGCAAATCTTTATCGGGCAAAAATAGCTATCACATGTAGCCTCACAAATTCAGGATACTAATAAGAGTTCTGTTAGTAGCCCATGCACAAAACTTACAGACATATGACTCATGAGGCATCGATACCTAAATGAGCTGCATTTGGTAATGTTCTCTTGAGAAAAGCAAACCTACATACTTGTCCTAATGACCCCAAGTTTGATGGCAAGAACGGTGGGGTAGAAAGAAATTCAAAACTCTTTAGAGCGTTCCAATGCTCTCGTTACGACTTCATTCAAGTCAGACTTCTCTGCAGTGAAGAGAAAAAGCTATTACTCTACACTTAACTACAACTAGTCTGTGTCTATGTTGCCATCTGTTTTGAACATACCTGGGAGGCACAGAATGAAAAGCACAAAATCAAAGTTACAGTTAGCTGTGGACCCGAGTAATTTTAATATACTTACATCCTTTGCTCCATTAGTACTATCTTTGGGTTCTCCATTAATATTTTTGTTTAGAACATTTGTTCCCAAAAGAGAAGTTGTTGGAGAATTAAGTGGGACATATCTGATCCAAAAATACAAGGGACAAAAACACTCTTCAAAGACAAAGAGCCAGAAGATGCTGTTTGAGGATATTGCTTGTGGTCCATATTACTGAGACTGAATTAAGAACTTGCCACCCTCTATTCAACGACCCTGACAAGAGACGTTTCACCTTACAGAACTGCACTTCCAAGGCATTGTCCTTGCATGCTATTTGTCATTATATCGTCCCCACACCCCTTCTTCAGCCACTCTCCTCTTTCTAGTCAATTCTATAATATAGTTAACTTACGTATGGTTTCTGCAGCAAAACCACCTAGCAGACATCAAGTATTTCACACCCAGACAGAAGCCTTAAGGGTACATGAACTCTCCTTCTGAAGGAGGTGGAGGAGGAAGAAATATTTTTGCAACTTTAGGAAGCTTCTTCTCAGGAAGCAGCCTTTTTCTAAGAAGACAGACCAATAAAGAAAGAGAATTTGGAACAGTCCTGCAAAATTGTTGAACAGGAGGATTTTGTTGGTTTGTTTGCCTTTTTTTTTTTTTTTAATTAGTTAATTATTATTACAAAGCTTTTTTATCCCCAAAAATGGATCTGGTATGTGGGTTCTCAGGAAGAGAACCACAGAAACAGTGAGGAAGCAAGTTTCTGAATGTCATGTCCACACAAACAACATTTAATTAAGGAATACAAATAGCTCCAAGTAACCATGGGATTCACTAGGAAGTAGTGATCTTGAGGGCAGAGGCAATGCATTTAAACAGCTCATGAGTGGAAGAGGATTTGGAGTAAACTCAATGGTAAAAGCTTAAAAGCACAGGATGAATCATGTTTTGTTAGGATGGCCATAGATACTACTGGCTTAACTTAGCCTGTGGCCATGTTACGTATCATCTAACTGATCATTCACCTCTGGTAAAACCCAAACACTTCAAACAAACAGGCTTCTTTCTGTCTGGTCACTTAATACGGCTGAGTAACTCTGCCGTTTCTGGTCAGCAGCGACCTCCAGCGGCTGAAGGGAGAACCAATCTCATACTATTTGCTACCCCTCAGGAATAGAAAGGTGGGATCCTGCTTCAGTTGGATTTTTTAGGACCCTCAAAATAAACTTGACTTTGTAAGACACCTTAACGGCAAAGAAAAAGAAGGACATCTCCCATGTGTGATGAGAGGCTACTTTTTACATTATGTATCACTTAAAAAGCTCAACCCCAGGATATGGCTATACAGCTAACCTTGAAGTCTAGATCCAGACAGAAGGATGCCAGTGGGGAAGGAATACAGTTTTTATAAACATTTATTTTTAAATCACTTTCAAAACGGTTGTGCTCAGAGCAGAACCGTTCACTGTGGCACATGAATTCCCAGAAGTCAGATCCACGCTCACACAAAGGGTGCTTATTCAAGCAGACATCTATTAAAGTTTTCCACCACAAGGATAAACCATCCACTACTCCCATCTCCCTCCTCGCACGTGCACACACACACACACCTTGGCTGTTCGCTGAACCTTTGCTTGCAATTCCAAAATGATTTGGACTTTGTCCTCTTTTAGATTCTCCTAAAGGGAGGCCTTTCAATGCTTGCACGAGAGAGGTCAGCTGTTCATCTGTTGCTATCATGTATTGCTGAAGCTTCTTCTAAGGGAGAAAGGGCAAAAAAACAGAGAGAGAGAGAGAGAGAGAGAGAGAGAGAGAGAGAGAGAGAGAGAGAGAGAGAGAGATACAGATATATATATTCTAGGAACATGAATTAGAAAGTTATACACAACAATTAGCACGGAGAAGAAATCTGTCCTCTAAGTATCACTGCCTGAATTTGTGAGATTCCAATGAGGTATTAAATATCAGTGTCTCCAAGTTTGCTATTTACTCTCCCTCTTGCCTCAACTAAATGGTTTGGTTTTCTTTCCCTGACTCATTACCCCCATTTCCTCTCCAAAGTTGCTTTATTGCTCCATTCCCAAATGTAAACATCACACAAATCTGAGCAAATGAAAATGTAGTATTACATCCATTCTACTTTGTTGCTATAGTAGTATTACTATTACAGAAGCATGGAGGCAGATTCTTAAACCTTTAGAGGGTACATGCATATCCACCAAAGATTGTACATATGCGTCCACTTAAGTAAAGCTCAGTTTCACAGAATTAGCATTTGCCAGGCCTTAAACATTTTAAGGGAAGATAAAATGTTAACTTTCTAAACATTCCTTTCCTCCCCCCCCCACAGTGCCCATGATCATTCTCAGACTCCTTATTCAATTTTATCATTTTCTTTCTCTTTACTGTTCAAGTCTCCTGAATGTATGAGAATTCATCTAAGCCCAGATCTGCAGAACTATTCACTATTCTAATAAGTTATCCTTCCATGACAGCAGTTCCTGCAGTAGACAAAAGGAAGGAAAGAAGAAAGGAAGGAAGGCTCAGTAACTCTCAGCACCTGTACAGCAATGTTTTCTTCCCTCACTAGAAGGATTTCTGCGGTCAAAGCATCAATCAGTTCTCTATGTTCCTTCAGCATCTCCTCATGTTGCTGCCTCATCATCTCTTTTTCACGCAGTTGCGTTTCACTCTAAAAAGCAAGAAAAAGTTAAAGACCTACTTTAATCAATGAAGATTCATTTTCGGAAACAGGAAGAGTTCCATATCACATTATACTGCAACAGCTCCTCCCACTATTGCTAAAATGACTTCATCATTTTCACTACAAAAGCCAATTTTCAGGGCTTAAGAACCGTCAGTCGGATTACTCCTCCTTCCTTGTTATCCCAGAACACTGCAAGGAATCCTTTAAATTCTTGTGCTTCTGCCTTTACAATTTTTACAGCCTGCAACTACAACCACTGTCTCTCTGTATGGATACCTTTTTATAACCCACTGAATCTTTTCTATGTGGTAATGAAATAAACTCCAGATGTGCTGATGCTTGTCAGTATCCTGTGCTACTCCTTTCTAAACCTCACTAATGAGCATAGGTTTGATAAAATAAAGGAGAAGGCATTTGTTTTCTAATGTTTTCTATCATGGAGAGAAAAATAGAGGATTGCCTGAGTATCTTTAACATGAACCAAAAAAGCCTATTTTGTGAGCAATTTACTTGAACACCAGGCAAAGAACCTTACTGTAAAGGATCTCTTGCCCTCAAAAGATACCATCAACCTATGAATTCAACATAGGCTGCTGTAGTAGACAGGCCTTCTCCTTCAGAAGGAAGGACGCAAAAGACTCCCTTCCATCTCTGATGAGTAAAGAAAGTGCACAATTGCCACTTTTTGGACCGCTGTAGTTAAGAGAGAGCAGAGGTTAAAGAGGCATATAGACAAACCAGAATTAACAGATGGAGCATTTCCCTAAATGGCTGCCTGCATATACTTCAGGGAATTCCTGAATTCAAGGCAAACATTTCATGTCTGAAACACAAGAGATCCTGAAAAGCAGTTGGGGTATTTTTTTCTGGTGCAGTGACAAAATAAGAGCATGAGCTGCCTATTATGCACTGTAGATTATTTTCTGCTGGCACTGGGATAGGAAGTGAAAAGCTATCTAGGAAGAAGCATTAAGGTAAAACAGCTCTGCAGGCACACAGAGAGTTAATGAATGAATAAATAAATAGATAGATATTTCTGAGAGTAAAGTGCAGATACTGTCACTGGGCACATAAAGACATGCAGATATGCGTCCTCTAAGCTTACCAGAGACCAGCCATCTGTTCTCTGATTCTTTTCCAGCTAGAGAGAACAGGTTTACACATCGTCCCAAGTGATGCAGACTGACTGATTTCAACTCTGCTGAATGAAAATGGAAAAACATAGACGCTCCCTCATTTTTTTTATCTTTAAATTCTACACGACTTACGTGTAGTCTTATTTAAGGAATTCCACTGATCCCCAACTGTGCACCGCTATAAGCACCATTTCAGGTTATTCTTGCTTAATAGGAAGTTGCCTCTATGGATGGAAAAGGAGAGCTAAGGAATACCTACCTCTAAAAGGCCGCTGGGCATTTGGGCCCACTAATCTGATGACAGTTGGACCGCCTTTGGGATGAGAAGCATTCAATTTTTATCATCTATGCCTTGCCTGTAATTAGCTGATATTCGTTGTCAGAGATACCTTACTGAAATATGCGTACCGTGTTAAAGCTAACGTTCAGAAATACTACAAGAAAACAAACACTTTTTGAGGAATAGTCACTGCACACGTTCTGTAGACAGACTGATACTTAGAGCATTTCTCTGTACCCAAAATATTCTGCTTACTAAAGCCTTTATATGTTTATTGTTTCTGGTTATTTACAGAACTAAAGCTTGTAGCTGGATGAACAATACCACTGACGAAACAGTCCTTCATAAGGCACTTTTAAAAGCCAACCCATACAAATGCACAGATTCTGTTATGTCTTGAGTGTAAGGCCACTACTGAGAAACATTTCATGTATGTTCTTGGGAATAGCCTAAAGTAAAGAGCTTTATATTGAAAAAGTCAATTCGGCTTTGTTTAACAATAAGAGGAGAAATTACCATTCACGATGAGGGCTCAAAATAATCTTTTGGAGAAAGCAAGGCTATCACAGAGGGTAGAATTAACTTCATCCTTACAAGTTATTCAGATATTAAACTTTTACACAATCTCCTACTTATTAAAAACTACTTTTCTTTTAGAAGATTAAAAAGTCTAAAATAAACCCCATTGCCCTGAATCTGCATATACTTAGTATACAATTTTAGTCTAAGAATGGCCAGAACCTTGAATTTCAGCAGTTCCTCCTGAGAGAGTCCTTACATAGGGACAAGGATGGCTGCCTGATAAGGAGTAGCTTTTGAAAGTCATCTGCAAAGAAAATGAAGATCTAATACAGTCTTCTCTCCAAGGTGAGCATGGAGAGGAACGAAAAAGAGATGCTCAAATTCTTCCCTTTCTCTCAAATAATACCATGGCACTCTTCTGATACACTTCAAACTGCAACTTGAAACTTGCATTTAGCCACCACAGCTGTTGTATTCTCTATGGTTTGAAGAGTATTCTGCTGACATAGATATTGTTGAGACAGTGTTTCTTGGATAAGGAAACGGAAGACAACTTAGAAAAATCTTGTACAGTTTACTGATAAACCACCTACAACCTGGTTGTACATATTCTTACACATTTTCTATAGCTTAATCAGCCTTGGTATTAAACGGATCTTTCCTTTTAAAGTCAAGGTTGGGGGTGGGGAAGAAGAGACAAATCTCAAACATACCCACCACCATTCCTTTCAATTCTAAGTGCAGTCCTAAAGATTTGAGCCTAGCCTAGTGTCAGAGATGAACGTGGTAGCCTCTGAGGACTTTCAAGCGGCTTGCAGTGCTGGCTCTGCTGCGTTCTGGCCTTGTGACAATTTTGTGTGTTCACCTAGTAGCTTAGTAAAAGGACTGTGATAAAAAGTTGCAAAGCTTGATAATTTGCAACTCTTACATTCATTGTGAAAGGGAAGGGAGCAAAAAGCAAAAACATTCCCTCCCAAAACATGTCTATTTCCTTCCACATCTTTATCCAAAGTAGAGTGAAAAATCACTTTAGGCAACTCCTTCCATTAGTAAGGATCTTAGTATTAGGCAGTGGGAAAATAATTAAAAACACTTCTTAGGATATGGTATATAAAATTGTTTTCCAGGACACTGAAGATGTGAAACATTCTGGATGATACCAAAGTTTTTCTGTGAGCATCCATACTTTGGTAGAAGACTGAACAAACACAGTAGCCTCTCCAAGTGGTAGCTCAGAATAGAGGTTCACTCTATTTAATGAGTGAATGAGTAATTTAATGAAATTAATCTGAGGTCGTTAGTGGAAAAGCATTGTATGGACCTCTATTTTCATCAGAGGATCAGGTGTGACCGTCAGCATATAAATCTTGAAATTTCTGAAAGGTCCTATTTTCTTCCTTCAAGTCATGAACCAGGAAAAGAGAACGCTTGGCTTCACTAGCATCATCTGAAGAAGTATACTGCTTCAGATATGAAAAGCTCGGTGTCGCTAATGCCAGGTCAAGTCTCAAGTCACCTGCAAGTTGCGTTTTGCAAATGGCAACAGCTGGCTAGTACCTTTCAAATAAAAAGCACTGTGTAATACAAGCTTTCCAATTTTCCACAGAAAAATACTTAGTGCTCCCAGAACGAGGACTGAGACAACAGAAAAAAGATCCAAGAAATTCTACACTCAGATCAGAGGTAGGAACCTTAAAACATAACACCAGAAGACATTTTGAGTTACAGCACCCAATAAATACATGATGTTATAACAACATGCTATCACCAGTTACCACAAGTTACTGCATCCAACTCTTTCTCCTGCCCGTCTCCCCAAAGTTCCTGCCCCTAGCAGTGGGGGCTAAAAAGGCAATATGACAACTTTTGCTACCGTTTACAGCCCTGCATGTTAAAGGAAGCTAGAACCAATTTTGTGTTACTTTAATACACACATACATACGCTGCAGCAGCTCAGGAGCCACTATACATCCTGTTAAGCCATGCCACTACTAGAGAAGGGCAGAACTCACAGTTAGTTGTGAAGGGATAATCACAAAGACATTCAGGTCTTCAATGTACAAGTAATATCAAGGCTCACGTGCAACGGGAAGGCAAGGAAGAAAATTAGTTTGTAAACAAAGCTTTATAGTTAATATCATGCTACAACTCTGAACATATTTAAGTGACACGTTTTAAAACTATTTCCATGAGTATTTTCTGCTAGAAGTTCCCGGGAGACTTTCATTGCAGTCAACTCCTCCCTTTTCATTAGGGATACCTGTTTCTAGCAGATGAAAAGTTTTACCTCTTCTTACCACTCTACAGAAGCAATTCAAAGTTTTCTCACCTCTTTGAGGTAGCGCATTAAGCGACAGAGAGCATTCACCAGTGATAAGGTAAATCCAGTGAGACCTTCATTTCTCTGAGTTTTCTGAACCTCACGGCCTGTGCATTGCTCATATTCCTCCAATTCATGCTCTACTTCGTGTATCATGCAATTGAGAACATCCAGGGTGGATTTACTGTCCCTTGGAAGGCCAGTGGGGATTGAATTAGCATGAGAATCACCTGTCCTCTGTCCAGAAGAGTTCTGTGCAATTTGTTTCCTTTTCACTAGGGAGGGGGAAAAAAAAAAGTCCTTGAAAGTTCAACTCAAATAGAAAGCTTGTAATCTCAATGAAATTACATTAAGTGTTTGTGGAAATAAGTCAAGGAGAGGCCCTCTCTGGCCCTGAGCTATAATGGATCATCAAAGAACATCCCCAGTTACTCATGTTATTTTCAGATCATCAGAAAAGAAAACAAAAAAAACCACTCCTCACATTTTCTGGCATCATAGTAGTACCTCTCAAGAATCATGGTTTGCTGCTTTCATATTAGATACCTACTTAACACTTTCAGCTTTCTTAGTTAAAAGCATAGAAACAGTTTGCTGGTGAACTGTCAGTGAAAAATGATCAGCTGCTTTCAGGTCTCACATTTATACCAATCTCTCCATGCTATGGATTTGTATCTAATGTCAATCCCCATATGCAAATACACGTTGACTAAGTAAAATGAAAATCATCATAAATCTGTGCAACGTAGCAAAGAGAAGAAAATGGGAGAGCACAAAAGCACCACATTGGAGACAACAGTACGGCTAGCAAGGAAACATGGTTCCTTGAGTTCCCAAGGACTTTGTTTTGTCAATGAAAACGCAGATTATGTTGGAACATATTGCCTAAAGGGGCTATGGAATGTCAACTTTGGAGGTGTTCAAAACTCAGCTGGACAAGACCCTGGGCAACCTAATCTAACTTTGGAGTTAGACCTGCTGCAAGCAGGAAGTTTGACGATAGGACTTCCAAAGGACCTTTCAACCTACATTTTCCTATGACTTAAGGACCTTGGTCAAATGCAGGTATGTTATTTTTAAAAGTACTACACCTTTTGCTGAAATTTGCTTTTGTTTCCTTGAGTCTGGGTTCAGCACTTGTCTCACAGTGTAAGCAGAATCTGCAGTCTCTTCTCCCTCTTCATTCAGAAGCCTTGAATGAATTCTCTTGACTACACCAGTAGCGTTGAGGGCTGATTTAAAAACAAAATGAAAAGCATACACAGAAAACATTTCAGGTATTTTCTTAATAGCAAAATGTTTCCAAGCAATTATACGGAAATACTGCCCTTTTTTGTCTAGAAATTCATCTGAGCTAGATTAGCACGTCTCTATCTCTCACCCACACCAAAAGGAATTCCAGGTAAGATCCTGCTAACAGCTTAATATCCCTTGAGAGGCTGAGCTTTAGTAAATCCAACCTGAATGTTCCAATGATGGAGAAGCAGTCGTCGGAGTCAAAGGTACATTTGCTTCCTGTGATAAGGTAGTTTTTCTCATTTCCTTTTCAGTCCATAACTGAGAATCCACTGAAGAATTTTTCTCTCTCAATAACTGGAGTAGCCTACATTCAAAACAAGCATAGCAATGAATTGTAATATGATAATATGATTGTAGGTAATCTTTACAATCTAAAGAAAAGCTTTTTGAAAAAGCTGAAACTCTTCATTCGAGTTCCCCATTCACAGTCTCAAGACTGCAACAAAGGCTTTCCCTGGAATTCTGAAGCTGGGAACATACCTGTAATTTATGAAGAAAAACAAAAAAAGTAACCTAACTATTCTCACACAGCATCCTTTTAACTCTGTCTATTTCAAACATTAAGGAGATGGAAACCTGAATGAATATATTTGCACTGACCTGTCAGAGTTGATGCTGGATTTGAAATTCAGAGAGTCGTGCTGTTCATCTTCTGATTGACAGATGGATGATGTTTCTTCTTTCACCTCATTAAGAGCCTTTTTTAGGAAACAAAAAAGAAAACAAAAGGGATCTCAGCAATTTCAAACTCTATAGAAATAAATACTAACTTGTTACATTTTTGTGGAAGTACTTCAAGAAAAAAAAAAAAAAGAAAAAGGAAAAACAAATCCTTTGTTTCAGTCCCCACCCCCAAAACAAAGTTAAAAGAACACATCTCAGTGGGAAGGTTTTGAGGAACTACATGAGAAACACCGATATTGACAATCGTCTCAGAAAAGATCACAACAAGTAAAAGTTCAATACCCAATCTTTTATTTAGATAAGAAAGGTCACACACACGTTGTAGGCTGGAAAACAAAACAAAACAAAGTTTTAAGGGCTGTACCATAACAAATATAGAGAAATAGCAGCCGGACATGGAAAAGGCAATCTAAATTATAGCATTTCTAAAATTTCAGTCATTTGACTTTAGACGCTAGACAACCTTGGAATGAAATCTGCATAATTACATTTACATTCTATGTATAAAAAAGCAACCAGAATGAAATACAATCCTACATAAAACATTCATGACAAAACTTAAGAGTAATCAAATTTGGAATTAGGGTTTCTGCAACTTCCAGAATTCTATCTTAGCGCGTAGGCCTCACCAGATGGCCTTCAACCAGGATTTTCATAGGCATATAAAGGAAAGCAAATTTCATGGAAGCTCAGCAGACACTTACCAGCACTATTTTCTTTCAAAAATCTAAGCCTATTCTGCAGCATGTATCCAGTGATACTACACTGTATATAAAATTCACAGCTTACAAAAATAACTCATTGTATTAAAAATACACACACATACACAAAGACATGACAGAGTAATACTGCAACTCAAATCGCACACATTCGTGCAAGCTAATAGGAAATAGAATTAGAGAACCATGAGACTATGACAGCAGTTTCGGTAGAAAAGGCACTTTCATTGTACAATCCTTTTGGTTTTCATCACAGTGAGCTACTTTTCAGAAGTTTCATATGCTTCTTCTCAGCCCAAAGTAAGCATTCCTGGTGTATAATTCATGTTATGAGAAGAAAACAAAACACTGAAGTAATCTAAATAATGAGATTAAAAATTTTCTTTTGAAACAAATCTAAATAATTGTAAAATAATGTGAAGTATTTAAAGTTTACCTTGAAGGACTATCAAGGCTGCAAAGTTAACTGGGGCACCTTTACATATGCATGATCAGAAATACCTCAGAGCCCAGCTGGCTATGCACCCATGCATGCTGGCACAACTAAACCTCACAGGCATATTTCAGTAGGTGGCAATTAGTTAAGTGGCACAAGACTTATTTCCTCCAGTCTGCAATTAGTTTGTCCTCTTCCTGATAGTCTCACTATTTAAAAGGGAGAGCATACTAACACGAGACATAATAAATTGGTGTTTCTCATACTCAAAGGTTAAGAAATCTAAAATCAAGATTCCCATGCCCACACAAAATAAATTCACCTCCACTTAATGCCTTTTTTCCCTACATGTAATCAAGACAGCACACAATGCACAGAAGAAAGGTTTAGGTCTGCTTGGAAACCCTTCCTTTGAATAACCTCATTTTGCACAAATAAAAAAAAACCCACAGGACATGCATGGAACTGCACATACATTACCTGGGAATCCATGACAGATTCACTAAGGATGGAAAGCTGAGTAGGAGGATCATGTTTTTGTACAATGGGTCCTTGAGAAGATTCTAGGCCACAGTTAGGAGCCATTGTTACATTAGGAAAACCTAGAGGAATCAGACAAAATAGGGAAGTACAATACACAGAGGACTCAGTCTGTATTATGTCTCAGGACTTCATACCAAAAAAACGAGTTTGTGCGCTTCTGCACAAAAAGGGTCACAGGGATGTAGGCTGCTTCTGAGTAACTGCCAACAACCAGCCATAGAGTTATCTTAATATATTCAGTCATATACTGGGGTTCTTTCTTTCTCCCCTGCTTAAACAAGCATGTGCAGAAAAAGCATACAGAATGAAATAGTCATTATAAGCAAAGGAGAATGGCAGCCTACAGAGAAAAGAATCTAAGCTTAAGATCTTATATGTAAACCGCCAATCCTGCCTTCCACCAGGATATGGACTCAAAGGACAGCATAAGAAAAGGAGAAGCCTTGTTTGTGAGTTACTGATAAGTCACAAAAGCAAGAGGTCAACCCACGTAGCAATGAGAATCAGAACTACTATAGTGGATCAAACTAGTGCTCTGTGTAGGCCAGTAACTTTGACTGTAGAAGTGGCCAATGTAAGACGTTTCATAGTAAGCGATCAGAAATCCCACAATGGACCAATACAGTGGGATAACTGGCCACACTTCACTCTCCTGTGCCACGTTAGGTGTTACCCTCATCTGCGTGTCATCCAACATCAACAGGATCGATTCTACTATCTTAGCTCACCAGATCAAAATACAGTTAAAAGAATGCTCAAAATACAACTTTGTAAAGCAAGACTACTTACAAAAAACAATGAGATAATCTTAAAGGTACTACCATATACAAATGAGATGATCTACCTGTTCGCCTGCGAGGAGCATCCCCAAACAAGTCTTTTACCACAGCCATAACCTGATCAGATCGCTCCAGCACATCCTGCAACTGGTACTGATCAGAGAGAATCTGAAAGTACAGCATATAAGGAAATATTTCATACTGTGCAGACCGATTTGTACTTTGTTTTCGGTAGCGTTCTTCTAAGTAGTTAGCAAGAAAATAGCTAACAAGACAATGCTTACTAAGTTTGTACTGCACAATTAGATCCTTATTGAGACAGATGAAAAGACTATATACTTCATTCTGAGCGACTACAATCATTTCTGAAAAACAAGGTGAATAAACAGTTATTACAGCCATCTGGGGTCCCCATCAGCCTTGACTCTTTCTTATTACAACCAATCCTTTCCTCTCACTCTCTTCTTCTGCCCCCAGCCCAAAGCAAACTAGAGGCTAGATGTTTAGGACGTGCTCACCTAAACGAAGACATACGCCTGGCGATTAGAAAGTCAGTGTACAGCTTCAAATCATTTGATCTCAACGCTGTTGAGATAGACACTTATTCACCTCTGACGGATACCCAAAAAACGTGAACCATTTGATTAGATCCACACCACTTCAAACAGACTTCTTTCAAACACCCTTGACTGTTGAAAATCCTGTCTAAAAATTAAGCCACACAACTTCTTAAAAGTTTCAAAAGATATAAATACAGCTGCTTACACCTGGCAACACAAGATGTTTTGGGAGTCTCCACTTCTTTCTCACAAGATACAGGTTCTATTCAAGAACCTTCTCCCAGAGAAGTTCATCACTGGAACTACGACAAGCGAGCTTAAGGAGGGAGGTCTCTGAGTTTAAAGAAAAAGTCAATCAGCTACTGTAAGCTGAATGGAAGCTGACTGGAGAAATGGCTCCCATGGGCCGAGCACAACTGAAAACTCCTCTCTCACTTGTAGTTTCTTGCACAGAGTTTGAAATGGCAACATCATAAAATTATATACACAGCTTTGGAAGAAACACTTTTTAAACACCCAAGAGGAGATCAGATGTGTAAATGATCTCCACTTCATCACGGTTAGTAAAATTCATCAAGAGAAACTGCAAATACTTTAGAAGTTGCCACAGAAAAGAGAGGCTCATTTATGCCCTCCTACATAAAATTTGAGAACAGCGTCAATTTGTGCTCACCCAGGAATCACAAGAGGGACTGGACCGCTGCTGTTTCAAAGCTCTATATGCTCCATATTTTCCTTCAGTGTCCACTGATAAGTTTGCTAATGTTTTATATTCAGCCTCATTCAAAAAATTCAAGCAATGGCATTTTACCTGCTTTCTGCTCATTCTAATATGCCTTGTTAGGTCAGGAAGTTGCCCCATATACTGTTTCCATGCCTGACCTGTCTTTTGAGCCTGAACTACATTGCAATATATCACACTTTTCCTCACAACCAATTTAGTAAAGCAACGAATATCCATCTCTCAATCACCTCACATAATCCACTCTTCTGAGTCACTATTCAGTTTTTTACACTCAATATTAACTAAATCCAGGTTTTTTGTTTAGCAATTTGATATCAAAATGATGTAGAATTTTAATCATTCCAGACTTGCAGAAGGAACAAAAATTACCCTGCTCCAAAACATGTTTTTTTTTGTGTAAGGCAATTAAAATTAAGGTAACATATGTAATCAGACAAATATTATCCCAATTAATTTGTTTTCACCCTCTCTACTAGATCTCTTTCAGC